TGAAGTTGAGAGGACAAAGGAACTGTTCAATGTATCTTTGGTAAACAACATGGAAAGTGTTTTTCATACGGACAAAATTACAACGTGACGACACGTGTCCACGTGTCTATGGCATAAGTTAGGCAATATATTGTCATTTGTCAAAAAGACGTTATAACGATAGAAGGAAAAAAACACGACTTTGATGGTGACTAAAGATTTTTCAAATTTACTTCTTTCTAAGTATAACATTACAATTTACTGTAGTTACTTATAAAACTTCATAGTTTCGAAATATAGATCCACATGTTTTATTGTACTTATTATAGATTTATGTAGAAATTGGTGTTATGGTCCTGTTATTCTCAGAATATGCTGTTTTGATTCGGAATAAGCAGTATATAATTGACTAATTGACTATGTTTTGGTTACAACAAAATTCTTCATCTGAATTTGATTAAACATTAGATCACCACCATATTTTTAATTAACATCATTGTTTTTGGATAATTATTTTAAGGAATTGGACCATGCATATATACTTTAATATTTTTAAATAAAAATGAATAGCACAACCTCTATGTCTTTTTTCTTTCCCATAATGTTAATAAAAATTGATGTTCCCTATTGTCAAAAAAGAGAGTACTAAGTGTAATTTAAGCTTATATTGCTAAATAAAAGTAATTAAGACTTTAAGTGCTATGTTTTGTACTGTTGAATTTTTCCAAGTTTTGATTTATATCACGTGTTGATATATATTTTTTTAGAAAAATTGATGTAATATTTCTTAATCCATATTTATATGTTTACTAGTTTTCGTCATTCAAAGCATTTGAAATTTCATCATAAATGTATTTGCTTTTTCTGAGTATAATCGAACCCTAGAGCATTCTATTGAAATTATAAACTTTTAGGTTAAACTTCAAGCATAGACATCAGAATCGTGATATCATTTCAAAAGATAATTAGTCGGAGATATATAAGCCTTTGATCGTTAGTGATATATTTGATTTACCCAAATTTATCATGATATGATGGTCTTTATCGAACTCTCTAGTGGAACTTAAAGAAGAATTAGGGTTTCTTCATTCAATAGTTTTCGTGCCTAACCATGTGATGCCACTTTTCTTTATCTTGTTTTATCTATATCTCTCATTTCGATTAGCGATTTCTCAAATCATAATGAATGGGGTAGTCAAAGATATTTGTTTGTATTTAAAAAAAAAAAAAGATATTTGTTTGTTGCTTTATTTATAAGATTTTTCACTAGTCTCTATTATTTGTCTGTTTTGAAGGTGGAGAATATATTTAAATTTTGGACCAGAGGAAAAAAACAAAACACAGAGAACTCTAGCTAGGAATAAATCATGGAGTCTCAATTCAATTTGATTGGATATCCAAGTTCCATATGATGTTATATTCGAAAATGATTCATTTTCTCTTTTATAAAAGATGGGTTAAAATCCTAAAAATCTTTGATAAACAAAAAAAAAAATTCCTAAAAGATGTACGTTGTGATACTTATGTATATGCATGTGTATGTAATCGAAAATTTAGGCAGCTCACTCGATGACGAAAATTTGTTAAGTATCGAAGAGATCTTACTCTTAATCGTATTCTTAGATATGTGTGACACTAAATAACCCGTCTACTGTCCTATATCAATATATGAAAATCTTTACTTTTGTGTATGTAATAGTACCTAAAATTAAATTGTGCTTTATAGTTTATTTTGACAATAGTATCGGAAGTTCTAAACAATATCTTTGTTTGTCTATGCTCTTCTTTTGTCTTGAATTTTCTTCAAAAATTTTAAACTGGTTCAATCTTTTTTTTTTTGGTGTTTGTTTTTCCAACATTTTAAATCTCCACCATGGTAAATGAGAAGAGCTACATAAACTGATTAATTAAAAAGAAAAAATAAAGAACTTAAACTAGATATCTTAGGGTGTCATTTAGCACGGCTTACGTAAACTGTGCATATTAATTTCAACGGGTCCACGAGATTCGATGACGGATATAAAACAAAGTTAGAGATACTTTTACATTTTAGTATAATAATTGAAGACTATTCTACGGACATTAAAATAAAGAAAAAGATTGAGAGGGATATTCTGGTAATCACTTTCTTAGGCTATGTATGATCATCTTTATATGTTAAAAGTGTCGACTCGATAAAATATCTAATTGGAACTGTTGGATTTGATTCGGATTGATGAATTTCAAGTCTAATCAAAATCCATCTATATATATGGTTGATTTGGATTAATCGACTTCCCTCTTTGAAACTTGATGGATTTTTCAGCCCAAACACCCATTTAGGCCCATTCAATAATTCATAACCGACTAAAAAACGTACGAAAAGATTCCTTCATTATTATAATTATATTTTTTGGTGCACAACCTTACTTCAATATCTTAAAATATAAAAGTACAATCAGAGGGAATTAAATATTTTCTAAAAAAAATATAGATAAATCATTTTGAAAGATAGACATCGGATCCAAGGTATGTCTCAAATACATCAAGAAAGTCTTCGCGGCACAGCCGGAGAGTCCTAGACTGGTCATGTTTCAATGTGACGTTAAGATCGAACTTCTACCTCTGGTAATCGTCGAAACGAAACCGGTTGCTTCTTCTCGTCCCAAAGAGACTACGTAAGAAAACAAGACGGTGAAATTTTTTTTAAAAGTTTTCATTTAAGCCACTCTCAAAGAGAAAGAAGATACGACCACTCTCAAAGAGAAGGAAGAAAGTAATAAAATCGATCTCTCCCCGAAGGAAGAGGAGCTTGGGATTGATCTCTCCATTAGGGAGGAGTTTGGTACTATAATCCTCATCATAGGAACCGTGATAATACTGCTCACAAAAACACAAAAATAATCATCGTTAGAAAACAACTTATCATGCTTAGAAAGTGGGTCATGCATGCTTGTTGGGCTAGGAGGCCCATATCTCAAACTGGGCCAGACCCATAATTGAATAATGTTGAAAGGGAGATGGGGTTTTGAGCAGCTGGGGAGAAGGAGGAGCCGCCGTGGTGAATGGTCGGAGTAGAGGAACCATGACGGAAACCGAAAGTCAGAGCCAACTAGATTCCTCTACCAGAGCGGAACTCTTGACCGGCGAGAGAGAGTTTGGCTGAGCCATAGAAATCGAAGTGAGATCTCGGCGAAGAAGAGGTTGTTGCAGTCGACGGAGCAAGGGTTGAAGTCAAAGACTGAACTGGAGATAAGATAATCTCAACATCGGTAAGACCACGGTGGAGTGGATCTGAGGCAAAACGTGACATTGGGGCTGGATCCGGTGGCTCCGGTGGTGGAGGAGAGATTTTCATCCCTGAGAACGTCTTCAACCAAAGGAGATAGTAAGCGGAACTCCGATATGCACGCGGTTTACCACCCGGTGACAGCAAGAGGGCTTGACGGAAGACACCATCTCAAGAGATGGAGGGAGAGGAAAGCGTCGGTTGACTGGACCCGAAAGAAAAGGGAGCAAACGTCAATCAGAAAGAGAATAGCTCAGAACTTGAACGCCGGAGGCCAGTGAATAACACGGCTGCCTCGATCTCTGTGTCTAAAAAAGAGGCTAGGGCGAACTCATTACCTCTGTATCCCATCATTCATTATTCACAATCACAAATTCACAACTCATTGAGAATGTCTAATTGGTAATTTTTTACCACAATAGTCAGTTGATGGTGATCTAAAACAGTACAATTTTTTTAAACTATAAACAAGAACGGTAAACAATTATAAAAGTGTAAGAATATAAAAAGTAGCGTAAAGAAAATGGTACGAAAAAAACGAATGTAATAAGATATATGAAGTTATACTTTGTAACAGTACATAATTACCGATCAATCTCAATATAAAATATACCATTTATTTTTTGTTACTAATTAAAAAAAAACAGAAAAATTTAGTGGTATACCGGTATTATTGTTATTTTTGTACTATAATCTCTGATTTTGTTTTGCCAAAACACTGTTACCGTTCTATCTCTTTTTATTGATTTCATATAAAGTAATCATAATTTTATACGCACACTTCTATCTCATTTTTCATATATAATTAGGCAAGTATCCGCGCGTTGCGCGGGACAATAATATCGAAAAATTAATAGATTAAAACTGTAAATTAAAATGATAACATATCAGTCTTTTGATTTTGCGATAATATCAAATTAACATAAGATAAAGTGAATGTTTTATAACTTATACATATAGCATTTATATTTTTACCAAATTTAAAATTCATCAAATCAATATGTGAGACTAAACTATTTAAAAACATACTCAAACAAATATTAATTCTTTTTTTTTGCAATTAAAAGAAACTAAACCCTAAGAGTGGACGGCATAACCCTAGGGAAGCCTTAACCCTAACAAACTAAACAAAACTATGGGTCGATTCAGCTCAGCTAGAAATATTGCTCGTATCTGTAGTGCTTGGTTAGTTTAGGCAGGTTGTATTATGCTCACGTTTCACTTATCCTTCTCATATAACTTTCTACATGCATTTATATCATATGATCGCCTATCACTATTTTAAATTGATTTCAATTAATATTTAATTTTTATAAAAAATAAGTTTCCAATCTTATCTTTATAATTTATACATATACCATTCATATTTTTAGCAAATTATAAATTCATCAAAAGTCATTATTTTTTTTGCAACTCAAATGAACTAAACCCTAAGAGTGGGAAGCCTTAACCCTAGGGAAGCTTAACCCTAACTAACAAAACAAAATTGTGGTTTGATTTAGTTTAGCTACAAATATAGCTAGCTCGTATATATAGTGTTTGATTAGTTTTGATGGGTGGCCTTATACTCGCATCTCACTTATCGTTCTCATATAATGTTATACCATCATTTATATCATATGATCGCCTATCACTATGTTAAATTGATTTTGATTAATATTTAGTTTTCATAAAAAATAAGTTTCTAATCATATTTTGATAGTTTATACGTACACTATTTATATGTTTAGCAAATTATAAAATCATAAAAAATCAGATCAAACATTTTGGATTAACATAAATGTTTAAACTTCAATTAGGTTTGGTAGAAATTTTTAATAGAAATTTTATGACCACATTTTTTCATATAAATAACTTCTGTTTTTGTTATATATATAAATATTCGTTTTACATTTTTATCAAATTAAAATATACTATACTCTAATAAAAGAGCCTAAACCTTTAAAATGAATGTAAAATATTATACAATTTATATTTTTGACAAAATAAGCAGTAATAAACTTTAATATGTGAGCCTAAACCCTCAAAAATGCACGTAAAAAATAAATGATTTAGATATACTTTGTTATTTGACTTCTGATGTAATAATGTCTTATCGTATGTAATGATGTCGATTATGGAAAAGTTTGGTTCGTATGTAATAGAAGCAATTTCTATGAACTATGTCAAATAGTTGCATACTGAAATGGTGTGTCACCTAAACCTATGTTGAATTATTAATAATTCAAAATGTTAGGGTGGACATATCATTGTTAATGACAGAGGATTGACCAAAACATTTGTTCAAATATCACAAATTGCTCCACAACATTATAAACAATTAAAAGGTGCGGTCAATTTCCACGAGGATTAGTTTATATCTTAATTATAATCAAGACTATATTCAATTATCATGGCGAGAAAGAATCATGAGATAATCTTTGTTTAGTCTAAGTTCTATGTACATAAAAAACATCAAAATAAATCACACCAAAAAATTACATTGCTTTGTTTCATATCACAAAATTAGTTCTTTAAAAAATATATTGATGCTGGATTATCAATAACACCCCCTAATTATGTTTACGGTAATCCGTTTTGCTTTGCGAACAATGAAAGTTTCAGATATTAGTGTTTTGTCTTATCTGAACTATGTCATAATCCATTTCATTGTTAATCATCTCATCAATAATTATGTTGAATTATTTATCTCTAAAATAAGTGACTTTGATTAGATCTTTCTTCCATTCTTATGCGTCTTAAACTGAAACATGTTCTGCTCCGTCCTAATTTTATAAGATCAAAGCGACACCTATGTGGGTATGTAAGACTAATTTATGACATAGCATGGTTATAGCATATGCTCAAATCCACAACCAAATAAACCAAGATTAAGAATATGGATTAGAAATGTAAATAGTGGAATCCATATTACTTTTATCAACCGTTCTTGTCATTTCTGGTTTACTTGAAGGTGTTTTTCTTTGATGGCATGATTAACACCCAAGTTAGGTATTTATAAAAAAAACACAAACACAAAAGTTAGGATCTCGTGTAACTCTTCTACAGTTTTACTTTGAAGTTTTTCATCTTCAGGACTGGATTCTTTTGGACTTTGAACAAATTGTGATTCTTCTTGATTTTCTGTACTTTGAAGGAAGGTGAAATTTGTCAGGTAGTGTATCATCTACTTGATTTATTGCCCAAGTTCTATGATATACCATATTTTTTTTAATGTTCTACCCAGTTCCTTGTGGAGTTCATATGCCATTTAGTTTCATATGTAACTTGTTTCATTATATGAAATGTGTATTTTAATTTGTACACACTGACACAATGATTATATTCTTCTTTTAATGCTTAACGACTTTGGTAATTAGGTGAGGTATGCCATGTCAAGACAAATTAGGATTAAACGGCAACACAAGCCAAGGAAATGGACCAAGCTGGTATTCCACGCATATCTTGAGTGCGATCTCATGGCAAATTATTGATTTTGAGGTCCATGTGTGGTCTATGTAATGCAAGGAAAAATATATTCTTCTCGCATTCCATATATATATTCTCTAAAAGCGGACAAGGAGTGAGATGAAAATGTAAGTACCCACAACTTTGTTATATCAATTTATAAGGAAATAACCTAGAGTCTGACTGAAAAAAATAGAATTCAGTTTTTGTTTAT